ATTACAGTTAGTGGGATGCCCCCATTTTTTTCTTAAGTCTCCTTCATAGGTTTTGACTTAGCGGGCTTTTCTTTTGAGAGATAATGACTGCCGGCTTTAAAGATTATGCCATGAAATAACCGGCTGAAAATCATCAAACAATGAAGTCGCCATCGAATTTATTTTATCCCACACAGAGTGAAAGGTAAACATTGAGAAAACCCGAGAAGGAAGAAGTCACGGTCTTGCGACCGCGAGATCGGGCAAGGGAATCTGTTATACAAGGGGAAGGTATTAGCACCCCACACGCCTGTAGTACTCGACGGTATCCACTCTTGTTGTCTATCTTATGGGTGTGTATAATCTATGCTTACCGTTTACTACTGAGGAAGAATGCATGCAAAAGGAATGAGAAAAGAATGTAGGGAAAATAAAGTTGTACTCACTTGGGCCCTACCCCAATGCCTACGTATCGTTTTTGAGGAATCAGAGCTACCGTAGTTCGGCTAACATGTTTTGTTTGTTTGTGTTTTTTTATGGACAATGTTAATTTTGCCTTTTGCCGTAGCTCGACCTTTGGAGACATGCGTTGACACAAAAGTAAATTAATCTTGTCCTTGCTTGAAAGTGGTTTCGAGTTACGCCCTCGAGGCAAGATACCACACTTGATTGGTTTGTATTTTGTTGTGGATAATGGCTAGTTGACCTCAAGAGAGAGATATTAGCCACTTTTTCACTTATCCATGAATGGAGTCTTTTATACTTGAACCATACCTAGGCCCGAGATGGAAGAACAATAAGATCGAGAAGAGACCCGCTTATCGTTTCCCATACTCAACAAAAGTATGATTCTCATCAGTAAATTTTTAAAGTATTTTGAAGTTTGAAAGGAAAAAGAAGTTTTTTTGTTTTATGAAAATGCAAAAGGAGAAAAGTCAAAGGGTAGCTATCATATTTCTAAACCTAATGTTATCATACATTATTGGACCTAAAGTCGGAATTTTGAGGGGATTCTACCTAACGTTTGCATGCTTGGATTTAGAAGCCTAATGTATAATTTTTGTTCAATTAAATCAAAGATTAAATTTTAAACAAAATCATCTAAGGAGTCATGAAAGACTATACAAACAAGCAAAATTAGGCAGCAACAATCCATACCAAAAACCACAGACGAAATACATGACATAAAATGAGTAAAACTAGTAGTTAAAATTGACTAAAAAGTTAGCAAAGGGGGAAATTAATTCCTATTTAATTCCTAAAATGTCTTATAATATTTTCACCATTTTTATTATGTATTTTTGTTATTAAATAAAAAAATCATGAATTGTATCTAGAGCGTATCTGAACTGTATCTGAAAGCTGAATCTAAATGAGTATCAGAATGGCATCCGTGTCTGGAGCGTATCTGAACTGTATCTGAAAGCTGAATCTAAATGATTATCACAATGGCATCCGTATCTAGAGGGTATCTAAACTATATCTGAAAGCTGAATCTAAATGAGTATCAGAATGGCATCCGTATATGGAGCGTATCTGAACTGTATCTGAATGAGAATCTGCTTTATTTAGAATGTTTCCGCTGGGAATTCCTGTTTTGCTTGAGAAGAAATCCGTTGGGGAACATGAAAACCTTATGAATCAGGATAGAGAATTCTTTAAGATGTTAGAGCAATGATTGGAGATTATTGCTCTGTCGGGGATACAAGGATGCTTGACATCACTTGGTTGTAAGCTAAGGATATGGCGGTGACTTTTTAGTAGGATGCCCATGCCTCTATACCTACTGAAAAAAAGTATCTGCGAAGATTTTGTGGATGGTTTGAGTGTCATCCCAACCCCCAGGGTTTTGAGTAAATGTTGATCAGGGTAATAAACCTTTTATTGATAGACAAGTGACGAGATGACAGGACATAGTTGTACGCTTTAAATCCCTAACTTTTGCCTGGACTGTCCTTTCAGATTTTCAGTCCAACGGGATACCCTTTTTTGCCCAAGCCGCCTATTCAGGTTTTCGACTTGCCGAGTGTACAATTTTATTTATATATCCCTAATTTTTGCCTGAACCATTTTGGGTTCGCTGGGATTCCCTTATTTTTGCCTAGGCCTGTCAACCTAGCGGGTCTTTTCATGCGTCATATTTTTCGACTATGTCCATGTTCATCGAGTGCAGAAGATTGTCACTGTCTATATAATAGCAAGTGTTATCACACTGCCAGAAGATGTTTATGTGATCGCATGTGCCCTTTCATATGTGGGAGCCTGTGTGGGTCTGTTTCAGGATGAATTTGGTGCACCTGATGTTTGATCCAGTTTCTGATAGTCTTGAATTTCCTAGGTATCTTTTCTAAGAACAGTCATGAAAGGATTCGAAGACATGATACTGACACCATCTGATACTACTGGCACAGACAAGTAATTTGGTGGTACCAAAGGTTCAAATTTCACAGTGATTTTTGCTGGAATCCCCGTTCAATGTAACAGGCCCTGAGTGATTCAAATGGAGATCTGCCCCTGGCTATTCAGCAGTTTTAAGAGATTCATTGCATATTGGCTTGGCTGCCCCAGATTAACTAGAAACCATGTCACGCCCCTTGGTTATGAAAGGCCTGTTATCGGGAATGTTTTTTTTTTGGTCTGAGGTGATTCTGTCCATTGAGAGGATCTTCGTTCACTGAATATTTGTTGTAAATTTCTCTGCTGTTTGAATAATTATCCATATGCAAACAATGTCATTTAAAGAATGAAAATCTTATGTCTGTCTTGAAGTTTGAAAATTCATTTTTAGTAAAACAAAAAAATTTGTAACAGTGTGATATCAACTCAGGATTTATAGCAAACCTTATACGAGTCAGGATACCTTTTTGTAACAGTATACTTTCGAACTAAACCATGCTTCAACTAGGAGTTTTAAGGGTTGTAACGTGGCCTGGTTCACGGTTTTAAGAAACAAAGGATAAGGGCTTAAAATTTAATTGTACCCAACCCATTCTTCGTGATGTTCTTCAGTCCCATGCTCAGTTAATTGTGTGTTTAACTCCCGCTTGAGTCTTTGTTCTGATATTCCAGTGATGGTTCGGAAATTGAAAGTTTATTTTGAAGAGGCATTCATTTTTGTAATCTTTTCTTTTTGTTGAGGATTTGTAGCGGCCACTTTTTTTTTATTATCCCTACTTTTGCCTGAACTGTTTCTTTTGTGATTACAGTTAGCGGGATACCCCCAGTTTTTTCTTAAGTCTCCTTCATAGGTTTTGACTTAGCGGGCTTTTCTTTTGAGAGATAATAACTTTCGGCTTTAATGATTATGCGGTGAAACAACCGGCTGAAAATCATCAAACAATGAAGTCGCCATCAAACATCTTTTGTCCCACATAGAGGGAAAGGTAAATATCGAGAAAACCTGAGAAGGAAGAAGTCACAGTCTTGCTACCGAGAGACCTGGTAAGGGAATCTGTTATGCGAGGGGAAGGTATTAGCACCCCCACACGCCCGTAGTACTCTATGGTATCCACTCTTTTTGTCTATCTTATGGGTGTGTCTAATCTATGCTTATTGTTTACTATTGAGGAAGAATGCATGCAAAAGGAATGAGAAAAGAATGTAGAGAAAATAAAGTTGTACTCGCTTGGGCCCTACCACAATGCCTACGTATCCTTTTTGAGGAATCAGAGCTACAACATGTTTAGTTGATTTGTGTTTTTTATGGACAATGTTAATTCCACCTTCTGCCGCAGCTTGACCTTTGGAGACTTATGCATTGACACAGAAGTAAATTAATCATCTCCTTGCTTGAAAATTGTTTCGAGTTACGCCCTCGAGGCAAGATGCCACACTTGATTGGTTTGTATTTTGTTGCGGATAATGGCTAGTTGACCTCAAGAGAGAAATATTAGCCACTTTCCACTTATCCATGAAAGGAGTCTTTGAGACTTGAACCATACCTAGGCCCGAGATGGAAGAACAATAAGATCGAGAAAAGACCCGCTTATCATTTCCCATATTCAACAAAAGTATGATTCTCATCAGTAAATTTTTAAAGTATTTTGATGTTTGAAAGGAAAAAGAAGTTTTTTTGTTTTATGCAAATGCAAAAGGAGAAAAGTCAAAGGGAGGCTATCATATTTCTAAACCTAATGTTATCATGTATTATTGGACCTAATGTCGGAATTTTGAGGGGATTCTACCTAACGTTTGCATGCTTGGATTTAGAAGCCTAATGTCTAATTTTTGTTCAATTAAATCGAAGATTAAATTTGAAACAAAATCACCTAAGGAATCATGAAAGACTACACAAACAAGCAAAATTAGGCAGCAACAATCCATACAAATAATCACAAATGAAATACATGGCATAAAATGAGTAAAACTAGTAGTTAAAATTGACTAAAAACTTAGCAAGGGGGGAAATTAATTCATATTTAATTCCTAAAATGTCTTATAATATTTTTACCATTTTTATTATGTATTTTTGTTATTAAAGAAAAAAAATCATGAAGAAAAGAATTAAATAATTATAAAAAGAAAATAAGAATATCAGGGGGTGCATGATGCTGGCAGTGGTGCATTGCAGTAAATCTTGTTGGGCCTAGGATTAGATTCCACTAGTAATCCTTTTCTTTGTTAAGATCTTAAGCCTAATCAGAAAAGTGGTGTTGTGGGCCAAACAGACAAAACCCGGCCAATCAGCAACCACTTTTATGATTTATCTATTTTTTGCTTAAATCCCAAAAATCGTATGGGCCCTGTCAAACTTCTTGTGCCCCTTCCCCTTCTACCATATTCTCTCCATGTGATTTCCGGCCGGAATTCTTTGCCACCGCCGCCAACACGATCTCAAATGATCTTGTTTCAAGAAAATTTCAACACCACTTTGGCCAAATCGACAACCCTGAACCTAAATATAGCGCTAATTCCTTGAGTGAATCCCTCTATATGACCAGATCTAAGGAAAATCACCAAGAAAACCTAATTTCGAAAGTTTTGTTATCCGGAATTTGGACATAAAATTAAGCAATTGATAAATGATTACGCATCAAACTATCAAGCTTGCTGAAGTAGTAACAAGAAAACACAGAGAAAATGAGCATAATCGACTTACTGACCAAAGTGGCTCCGGCGACTCTTCGAAGGAGGCGGAGACAGAGAGAAATCCAGTGAATCTCGAGTATTCAGGTAAGACCACTCCTTAATTGATAAGTGATATCTTCTGCATTCTGCTTCATATTTTTCTTCGATCGGATTCCGTTTTTTGTCTCCTCTTCTCCTTTGTTGTTCTTGCTTGAGCGTCTTCCGCTTCTGTTGTTCTTGGATGTACTATGTTGTTGCGTGATTTTTATGCTTCTGTTGTGAGCTGAATTGAGGTTTTGAGAGAGTTTGAGGATTGAATTGAGTAGAGGATGGTGATTGGGAGATGAAGGTGAGGGATTTGTAGATGGGTTGTAGGGTGAGGCTTGAGTATTGAAGGAGAAAGTTTGAAGATGAAAATGAGGATTGAAGGTGTGTGTGAAACTGGAAAAAATAGTGGAGAGGATGAAGGTCTATGAAGATTGTGCAGGGTCCCCTTTACAGAATATTGATGAGTTTGTTATATAGATGAAGCAGTTAATTCAGTTGGAGATTAATGGTGAGATTTTAATCAGTTAAGTGACAGTTAAGTAGAGTCGGAAGTTAGTTAGAGTGGATTTAAGTTATTTGTTGGATTTTAGAGGAGTTAGGATGTTAGAGAGCTATTTTGTTTTGACAGTTTGCAGGGCTATTTTAGAGGTTGGAAACTGTTAAAGAAAACAGTTAGGGGTTTAGGCTGTTAGTTTGTTAATCAGTTATAGGTTGGTTAAATTCTGTCATGGAGGTGGTTAGTGAAACAGTTGTTACAGTTAGTTAATTAGCTTGGACTCAGTTAGTTAGGTTGAGTGACTTAGTGGGTCAAGTTAGTTGGTGGTTAACTTCCAATTCTATTAACTGTTCTGTCAGTTTTGGTCTTTTGACAGTTATGCTTTTGTTTTTCAGTTATGAAAGTTTTTTAATTCTATTGTTTTGCTTGAACTAACAGTGTTGAATCAGTTTTAGAAGCTATGTTAGTTATATGTTCTCAGCTCATCTTTTTCTCTTTCTTATCCTAAATTTGATTTACCTTGCTTCACGTGAATTCTGGCTTTTCTTTGCATCACGCATAGGGCGTCAATGTGACTGTATTGTCTTTTGATCTTGTAGGCTTATCAAAATATGGATTTCTTGCTCATGACCAACTTGGTGTTATCTACGGAACAAAATAATGCATAGGTTATGTTCTGCAAGTCAATTTTCGTGTCTGCATCAGTAATGGTTTTAGAATGATTTCAGGCATGGATTTCATGGGGCAAAGGTACAAATTGACTTGGTATCTTTCCATTTTTATTGCCTTGGTGCTGCAGGTTTGGGGATGTCAGTATCTAAATGAGATTTTGAACTCTGATGTATAACTTAGAATATAGGTTGCAACTTCAATTGTAGATTGCAGGGCTGCACGTGTATGAATGATTTTTTGTTGTTGTCTGTGATGCAGGTCAGGTGATGAGGTTAATCAAAGGAATTTTGCTGCAAGGTTTCTTGTAAGTGAAGAAGAATTTGGAAGAATTGTAAGAACATGGAGACAAATGGAGTTAAATCAATGAAGACTTGGAGGGATGTTGAAGGATAAGCTTTTTAGGTATTAGATCAAAATTTGTTCCATGTCAATAATAGAATTTTTTTGTAATTTTCCAATGTAATGGTATTGAGGTAAATGGAAAACGTATGGAAGTGCAATGACTTCTGTCCTTGTAATGAAAAAAGTTTGAATAAAGTCAGATCATTTTCTCCCAGTCTTTTTGTAATAGCTTTTTGCACTTGCAACTTTGAATGAACTTCTAATTTTAGTGTTGACTTTGTCAACCAAGTAATATGTAATAAAAGGTTTCCCTCCTTTTCAAATTTGAAATTCAATTATCCTTCTTTAATGCTTTAATAATTCCACAAAGTCTCCTGTATGTTTCCAACAATGTAACCATAGTCGAGTATTAATGGAGAATGAGCAATTCTTAGTCAACACCTCCTCTCTTATGATAACTTCATAAAAAAGATGATCCAAACACCTCCTCTCTTATGATAACTTCATAAAAAAGATGATCCAATCTTTTACTTGTTCAACAGGTAATCAAACAAACCCTTATCCATGATGAGGCCTTGACTCATGAAGTCTTTACTTAAACTTTTAGTGGAACCCTAATGATCTTGCCCTTGACGAGGATGATAACTTTGTAGCTTAATGAGAGAAAGAAGTTCTCAATGATCAAGAATCTAAACCCTAGCTCCATAAACTACAGTTAATGAGAAACCAAATGATTCAAGCTTGAATAAAGATAAGAGTCTAAAAGCACATACAAAACCCTAACTTCAAGATCCTTGTTCTCATGCCAAATTTACTGATTGATGATGCATGATATGTTAAATGACCTAATGTAGGGTATGCAGATGGAACGAGAAGCATAAAATGCATAAGCTAGATAAAAAGTGAGAGGGTAGGACAAATTTGGGGTATTACATGCGGAACCATCACCATCTTCTGATTTGGAAGGACGTCTTTGATGTCATTCATTATGTACGAAGTGGAAAATTACGACTGAATGCGCATCTGAGTTAACTGAGGAAACTACCCTGCCCCAGGTTATGATTAAGGGTTTTAATTTGTGTGAAAAGAAAAACTCCTACTTCTTAGGCTCAAAGGGGTTGACTAGGGATTATCTTCCTTATAACTCCACTATTTAGGATTTGAGACAACGTCTGTACATCATCAGCGGGGTCTGTTCAAAAGCATATTGTAGAGATTATGGTATCATTTTTGTTATCCTCCCTCTAAAGGCTTACAGCTTTTAATCAAGAGTCGAATATCATGAAAGGAAGTAAAAACACAATTTGAATATAGTGGATACGAATGAAATAATTTAAGACAAACATATGCAATGCATTGACGAAATGACAAAGTTTGACATAAAGGTAAGTGTTTAAACCAAACAAAGAAATTACAACTGAAAATTCGAATGAACAAAAATTTCTCTGCCTAAACTTTATCACTTCAGATGATATGCCTTGGAGGAATGACAGAAAAATTCCAATTGACCATCTTGTGCAAATTCCAATGCTCCTTCATCAATCAGGTCTTGAATTTTTTTCTTCAACGCCCAACAGCTATTAGTGTCATGTCCAGGACTGTTGGAGTGGTACGCACACCTTGCATTTGAATTGTACCTTGGGAGGCAGTGTTGGGATTCTGAGGAGGATCCTTTAATGTAACCAGCTTGGCCTCCAATACCTGATGCAATGCTTGAGTCAAGGACATGTTGGTTTTGGTGAATTGCCTCTTGGGCTTGTCTTGCCTTTGCTGATTACCCCGTTGCGGTTGGCAAGGTCGTTGTTGGACCCTTGGTGTAGCAGTAATTTGGAAAGGTCCACTCTCTATCAAAACTACTTCTTGTCTCATCAGGGGCTGATTAATGACTTGATCCTCAGCCTCGACTGTTTGTTTCATACGGTTGCATCCGTCTTGATGAAGTTTGATGATAAGGGCTCTCAGCTCTTCTTTCTCCCAGGCTAGGCTTTGGATAAGAGCCATCTTCCCTAGCATCTAGATTCTCATTGCTTCTATCTCAGCTTGCAGTTGCTCCAACTGGTCATCCTTCTTGTCTTCAGGACTTTTCCTGGCCAAGTTCCCAACGAGGAGTGCTTTTAATTCTTCCTGCCCCTTGGATAGGTTTAGGAACATTTCCATGAACTGAGCCTCTTGAGTTTGGATATCTTTGTTGTTTTGTTCGAGAGCCATTTTCCTTGCTGAAATAAACAGCAAGAAAATGAGAAACCTGTACTGGAAGACCTATTATGAAATGGCATGCATGCAATGTTTTCAAGGATCTCGCGGGGTAAATACAAGAAGATATTTGAATTTTGACTGCAGTTAGGATTAAGGAACTTTCGTATTTGAATGTCCTTCCTTGAGAAACGAGCTCACCATATCGAGTGGGTCATAGCCCCTGACTCAAGTTGTTGTGTTTTGATCCTTTGACGGCATTAATTAGAGGAAAATAAATCCTCTTGCCCCTTGTTAGACGTATGGTTCATCATAACCTGCACCACGGGCCCTTGAGATCCTTGAAATGGTTAAGGAAATGCTATGTTATGATGTTATGATGTGTATGCTATGCATCAAGCAAAAATGTAGGGTGATGAGGACAAGTATGACTTTCAAGAAAACCAGTTTATTGGATAATGACTGTAAACAAATCCTGTAAGGAAATCATATTGTTAGATAATCAAACCCTGCAAGTAGTTCAAGTTGAAAGCAAACAAGTCACACAAGCAGACTTAGGTTTAGGCTTGCATGGGGTTTGCAGGTAAGTACCCTCTTGAAGTTTAGTTGGCTCAACCTGTCCTAGTAATAGTAACCGGGTTCTAAGGGATCTCAATATCACTGATTTTTCCCACAAGTTTCTTTCTGATCGACAACTGAGTTGCCACCAAACAAAACTCGGGAGTCAAATCTCAATGAGTGTAGCATCGAGTATCAACCAATCTCCAGCTTTACACCGAGGTCGGCTATCTCACTACTTTCTAATGGCCAAGTTTGTCCAACTAAGGTTCTAAGGTCCGTTAGTGTTTCAGGACACCACGCGGCGGCCCTGTATTCTCCTCGATTCAACACAAGGGATACCATTACCAACCAAAGTGTCACACCAACACAGCTATTGCTTCAACCATATCAGTCTACGTCGTACAGTCTCCAAGATCTATTGTTGTTTACCTAAAAAAGTACCCCCAGATCCAGGTGTAGGATCTATAGTAACAACCCAAACAACCCTCCAAAGATAAAGCATACAAAGCAAGCAAAATACAATAGTTTTAAAATGAACTAACTCTAAGGTAACCCCACAATCCATTTCCCCAGCAGAGTCGCCAGTTTTGTGATACGGTGGCAGAAACGACTGTTTAATACTGGTTTTTTGCGTTTGTGTTTGCAAATATTACAGTGAGCAAGAGTCGCCACCAACTTTTCTTTTATCCAAATTAAGGAAAGGGTGAAAAGAACAGAAAAAGACCTTTTCGAGATTTTCTGAGTAAGGGGGGTAGGTTATGGAAAGGGAAGGTGTTAGCACCCTTTCTATCCGTAGTTATCTACAGGCTCTTAGAGGTTTGCTCATTTTGAAATACCTTTATGCTTTGTGTGTTTCAAAATGTTTGGAAAATACCTTAGTGCGGCGATTTGCTTTGCGTTAACTCTTGTATCAGTCCTCAAGAGTGTTAACAAAGCAAATGTTTTTGAAAATTGTTTTTGAAAAGTAGTATTTGTGTAAGTGCAAAAATGTTTTGAGCAAACTTCTAACAGCTATCTACTTTGTACTCGGAAAAGGTGGTTATTTTCCTCATATCCTATAGACAGTGTTATCCTACTATTAGTGAGTAGGTAGCCCTATCGTTGGATGTATAAGGGACATTTGAAAGGGACTTTATAGTCATGAAGGCAACTTGTGGAGACGCTTTAGTAATTTTGTTTAGGGACTAGATCAGTTACCGAGAGGCAACTGTAGGGTCATCGAGGGACTATGATCTTTTAATTTTACGGGTCTTTGTTAAAGCGTGCCCGTTTCGAGGGACATGACTGCTTTATTTATGAAGGCAACCAATGTGGGGTACCCTAGAGATGTATATGTGCAATGTGTGTTATATTTAGTTATTTTTTAACTTTTGTGTTAGGTTTGCTAACATTTTAATTTCAGTCTTACCATACATGCCTAGTTACTAGCAGTTAATATATATTGCAGAATATAAAGTGAGGAAGTATAAACCTACACTATTACATGGCTTTAGGGAGGGGATTTACAATGTACAAAACTTGGGGAGAAGAAAAATAAAGAAAACGGATAAAATCCTATTAACTATTACATCCAGTATACAGGTACAATAATATAAAAATACGAAAGAAAATAGGTAACGCGCGAAAGTTAAAAGTTCACCTAAAACCTAAAAGAAAATCTAAATGAAATAGGAACAATATTTTTATTATTCTTTTTTTTATTTAAGAAAATAGTTAAAATTAAATTAAAGAAAATAGTCTAAGTTCTTTTTGGTTTTTGTATTATGAGAAGAAAATAATTAAAGTTAAATTAAATCCTAAATTCTAATTTATTTTAAATTAAGAAAATAGTTAAAATTATTTATTAATTTACTAAAAAAATTAGTTTAATAATAAAAAAACCTAAAACTAATATTTTTGTGATTTTGATTATTTGCATAATTAAATAAATAAAGAAAAAAGAGAATAATAAAAAAAGAGAAATTAAAACAAAAAAAAGTGATAAATGGGCCTAGGTATGTAAAAGAGACAAGGGGGTGCTGATTTGAATTTTGCTAGGCCCAAGTGAATGTTAAGCCCAGGCTGTATTGGAATCCGGTGAGAAGATTCTTTGGATGTCCATGATGGGGACACGCATTTGCTACGCTTGGATCAAGTTGTAATGTCATTGGAGGGTATAGATCTGGTGACCCATGGTGTGTGCATATGACCTGATTGTATTGGATCTATAAAAAGAAAATGGAAAAAGTAATATGCAAGAGGCAGGGGTCGAACCCCTGACCTATCACACAC